CTGAGTTTTCTGGCCAGCCTGCCCCTTCTGTATGTATTTACTGGTTTTCTTTAAATGTTCCCATTACTCAGGCCTCTGGTGGGCATGGAGACAGAAATAAATCCCACAAGGCAGCACAGCCAGAAGCCAAGAACCTGATTCTCCCTCAAAGGCCGGAAGAGGCCCCTGTGCACAGCATGCCAGACCACAGTGGCCCACACACTCCACAGGGCCACGATCCCCCCATGTAGTCACACATGTGTTCACACACAGACATTGAGATGTGGGGGAATTCTCAGCAGATTTACCTCATACACGCACACACATGCACACACTCACCCCACATGCACATATGTGCACAGTCATGCTCATTTATACTCTTGAGCACCCCCATATACATGCAGACCTGCCTCAAATGTACACACACATTTATACGCACAACCTTCCCACAGACTCGCCTCATGCACACACACAATCTCCACACATACATTCACACTTCCCCACAGCCAGCCTCACACCCAGTTGTGACCGCACACTCTGGGGTCACAAATATATCTGTCCTCAAGGCGCTGGTGGGCAAGACAGATGGGTGAGGCTGTGGGGAGTGAAAGGATGAGGCTGCCCCTGTGCAGTTCAGGGAGAGTGGCCTCATGGGAATGCGGGTTCAGGGCTGCCAGGGCTTCTGAATTTTTAAGAGAAGCTGGAAAGCTGAATTTTTATGTGAAATATCCTGATTTTTAAATGTTGGCTCAAGATGTTGAAAATACTGTGAGGGCCAATCCAAACATGTCAGTGGGCCAAATTCCACCCACAGGCAGCATTCTCAGACTTCGCGTCCTCATAGACACACAAATAGACACACAGACATATATACAAATACAAATAGACACACGTACACACAGACATACCAATAGCCACACACGTATACAAACACATGGACACACACATACATAGGTATACATACCAATAGAACCATACACAGACTCACACAGATAAACACACAAACACACAAAGAGGCACAAAACAGCCACACAGAGACAGGCACGTATACAGACGCTAAAACAGTACAAATACACATGTGCGCATACACAGACGTAAAGGCATCGACATAGAAACAGGCATACAATGTACCCTCTATTTTGCTGATGTGAGTGAGCTTGTTGGGGCAGGTAGCCTGTCAGTGTGGCTCTGGGCAGGGGCAGGGTGTGGTCCAGGCCAAGACTGACTTTTAAAGTGCTGGAGCAGGAAGAGGGTCCCCAGGAGGGACAAGCTGTCCTGGGCTGACTGGTAAGGAACCATTAAGAGCCTCTTGTGTTGGGACCTGGTGAAAGAGTTAGGAGTCACAGACTGAGGAACTGAGAAGGGGGCTCGGGGTGGCCAAGAGCCCACCCTCTTGTGCCCCTGAATCACATCTGTCCAGGCTGGCCTTGGTCCTGAGTCCCCACCATCAGAAAGCAAAGCCAACAGGAGCCCCATGGAGGTCCCTTGTCCACAGTGCTTCCCACCAGAGACCCTGGAAATATCCCAACCTCCTAGCAGGTGTCTTTGACCTTGACTGACAGGACCCCTAACCCTCTTATCAGGAAGCTCTGAGGGATGAACTGAGACCTGCTTCCCTCCCCATACCCAAACTGAGACATGAGCAGGGAGGGGCCTGAAGAGTATGTGCATAATTAACGTGGGAACATAAAGAGCTCACCATCACCACAGATGGATGGATGAGTCCCTAGACCAGGCCGGGTCTCCTACCTCCCAGACCTTTTTCCTTTTCTTGCCTAGAGCTGACCTCCAGGTCCCAGACAAGGAGGGTCTGCACAGAATCCACACCCACCACTGCCACCCTTCATCTTGCCAGGATCCCTTGGTTTCCACTACCTGGGTAGCCATGACTCTGAGAAAGGAGAGTACCTGTCATTTGGGATGCCCCAACCTTGGGTCCTAAAAGTCTCAAGTATGCTCAAAGGAAGGGCAGGGGCTCCCTTGAGGCAGGCAAAACCCAGCCTGGGAGTCCACAGGGGAGTGGGATGTAGTACTGAGCCCACAAGGCCAGACCTGAGCAGGGGCCTGACCTCAGAGGAGAAGCAGAATCTAAGATACGGAAGGTGGCTTGCGTGGGGTCAGCTCACACACACAGCCAGCCAGGGCACTGGGCTCCTCCTCTCCCCTTCTTGGCATGGCAGGACCAGTCCTCTTGCTAAGGCCTGTTTCGGTTGTCCATGGCAACCTCAGGCTTGGAGCGTTCTCCTGGAATTGACTGAGGAGGCATCAGACCCAAGAAACGACACAACCCAGTCTATGTGCCAGAGCTAAGCAGCAAACCTCACTCCCTCAGCACCCTCTTCCCTTGCTGGGGTCTTCACAGTCAGATTGTCTCTTCTAACAACACCCAGGGCATGACCAGGATCCTCTCAGGCCCCTAGAGCAGGGCTGTGCTCCCTCAGAGTCCCCAGACCAGGTCGTGCCCTTCTAGAACTTCCAGACTTGTCTCCTGAGTTTATTCTCCTTTAGATCACCTCCTCAGGAAAGCGTGAAAGGTGTGTGGGCCAGGTGCATCCTCTGATCTCTACTGGGGCTTGCAGAATGCAGGTGGGCAGAGCCCTGTCTTCCATGCTGACCCTCAAGACCCCTTGCCTGAGCTAGGATTCCCAGACCCACTTGTCTTTCCCTGAGACTTGGCCTTGCCTGACAGCTGAATAGGGGTCCCAGGAGGGTATATTCTTTCTGGTGGTGGTGGTTATGTGCCGTGGGGTCAGTTCTGATTCAGCGACCCTGTACAGGGTTTCCGAGGCTATAAATCTTTATGGGAGCAGAAAGCCTCATCTTTCTCCCATGAACAGCTGGTAGTTTCGAATTGCTGAACGTGTGGTTTGCAGCCCGATTCGTAACCACTATGCTACTTTCTTTCTAGGGGTCTTAAAAGGTTCTTTCCCAAATCCAGTCTCAGGGACACAGACCAAGGTGAGGCAGGGCCTTGCCACACACCCAAGACACGGAATTGGGGCTGGATGCCTCACTGGCCTGACTTGGGGTGCAAAGCTGCCCACGAAGTGCCTCAACACTGTGGCCCAGGAGACTGAGGAGTCGGGGTCTCTTGGTGCCCTCCTTCCTGCCTATCCGTGGGCCGGCTCGACTGGTGTTTATGTGTTCTCTGTGGCTTGGCTGGGCCATGGGGCCTTGAAGGGAGAAGTGACCACCTGGCTTCAACTCCTGTTCAAGGCAAACAGGGTCCTGACTGCCTGCCAGGCCCTCTGAGGGCTCCCACTTCCGCTGCCAACACCTGATGGCCCAGGTGGGGTGCAGGGGCCTCTCTGAGCAGGGAGAGGCCTGGTGGGAGGAGACCCGGTCCTGGCCTAGGAGACCAGACTGATGGGAGAGGCCCTTTCAGTGAGAGGCTTGGTCCTGACCTGGGTGCAAATATTCTGTGGACATTTAGTCCAAAGAGAAAGCAAAACCCAGTCTTGGAGAATTCAGTCTGAAGGAAAAATATGACAAGTCTGAGGGGGGAGATATAGCGGTGTTCTTGACCAGTTTGAGAAGAAAGGGTCAGCTCTGCCCTGAGGGCCAGCTATTCTGAGGGAGGAGGCTCAGTCCTGTGTGTGGGGTGTCCGTCTGGGAGGTGAGCACAGCCCTGGCCTGAGAGGCTCACCTCTATTGGGGGGTCTCCAGTTTGAGAAGTGAAGCATTCCCCTCTTCTGGATGATGCCAATCTGTGGGGAAAGTCCCTGGGGGTGCTTACTCTGATGAGGAGGTATGTAGACAGTTCTGCCCTAGGAGTGCCAGTCTGAAGTTTCAGGGTGAGTAAGCCATATGGGCTGCTTATTTTAGATACCTCCTGAGGGAGGAGGCTGGACTAGGAGATGGGGTCCTGCTTGTGGCGTGGGCAGAATGACTTGCCACGGAGGCCTAGTGCACTAGCAGTTCCTGTGTCAGCCCAGGCTCCAAAGGGGAAGATCTTCTTCCTCCCACCTCTGTTACCCATTCCTGGTCTGACCACCTGCCGTCTGCACTGGTGCAGAGATCCTGCTTAACGTTGCCCTTGTTGCCTCCTCTCTTAGACTTCCCAGTGACTCCCCAGCATCCATGGGAATCCTTGATGTTCAGCATGACCCAGTGCCCCTCAGGACCTGGCCTAGGCCTCTTTCTCCAGCATTCCAAGCAGCTCACACCACATGGAGCTCGGTGGGAGCCCCAGGCTTTTGAACAGCCAAGGCTGGGCTCACTGCTGATATGAGTTTGCTGTCCTGGGGGTAAGGATGGGGCCTGTTGGGTATGAAGAGCACTTCCTGGAGACTGCATCCATGAGGAGAGCTGGTGATGAGGGGCAGGGAGGGCCAGGTAGAGGCCTCAGGCTTTGCTCATGAACAAGAGACTTGATGTGACCAAAACCTGGGGTGGTAATCCATTTGGATGGGTCCTCAGGCAGTCAAGCTAAGGGACCATGCCATTTCAGGACTTACTAGGACCTAAGGCTGTGGCGTATTTAAGCATGAGGGTGAGTAAGATGGTAGGCTACAAACCCCACCTCGATGGCCCCCACAGTTCCGGAGCCAGGGCTGAGAACCCATCTTTCACATGCTGCCCCCAAACAACCCCTACACTCTTTCTCTGGTGACTGGAGGTGTCAGATGCAGGGTGGGGGCTGTAGATCATACCTGGAGGCTTCCCTGAGTGGCACATTTGGGCACCACGCAGCCAGGGAGAGGCTTACTCTGGCAGGACTGTATGTTTGGGGAACATGGAATCTGCTTTCAGTCCTTGGGGGGTAGTGCAGGGGGCCAGCAGGCAGAGAAACGGAACCAGAGGATCCTGGGTCTCTTGTGAGGCCTGGGTATGAGTGTGTTAAGTGGCCGAGGTGGCAATGGACGGCAGAGAAACGATGGGGTACAATTCGTGCACACTTGGCTGCTGTGGCACCTGCAGACTGGAGCTTCTGTAGGCCTTGAGCACAGCGTTTCCCAGGCTCCTCCCCAACATTCTTCCCCTTTCCCAGGTAAGTCCCACCACAGGAAGGCACACATTGCTTCCTTTTGCTTTTTTTTTTTTTTTTTTTTTTCTTCCTCCCCACTTTTTCCTCCTAGCCCCAAGCCCTGAGTGGGCAACTGTCCAACCACCCATCTTTTGGTCCATCTGTCCATCTGCCCATGTATCTGCAGGTCCAACCCCCAAGCCCTGTGTCACATGACTGTCTCCCATTCTTCCTGCAACAGGGCAGGGGGTCGCTCAGGTCCGGAGGCCTCCTCATCCAGTCCTGAGCAGGAGCCGTTGAGGAACCCATTGTCCTTGGGAGCAGCCATGGCAGGTGATGTGGTCTCCAAGGCCGGGGCCCCAGGCTTAGTATGGCTGGGCAGCTGGGGGTGGCCATTGGTGGTGGCAGCAGGTAGAAGGCGGGGGCTGAGGGGCAGGCCGAGTCCCGTGCGGGGTCCTACATTGGTCACACTTGTGTGTGACACCATTGGGCCATAGCTGTAGCTGCTGCTCCCACTGCGTGCCTTGCGCTTGAAGTCCAGTGCCAGTGTCCATCGGCTCCAAGACTTCTTGATCTCAGCCTGTACCTAGGACAGTAACAGGAGGGTGGACGATTAGGGTGTGTTCCAACTCCTGTGTACATGTCCTCCCAGGCAGTGCCCCCATCCCTGCTCCTCATACCCATCAGTGAGTGGGGACAGAGGAAAGAGGAGCTACTGGAAAATTCCATGACCAAGCAAACTCCCATCCTCAGAACAGAACAGAATGGCCTGGCTGCAAGCAACTGACAACACCCAGAATCAATGGCCCCAAAGGTGGCTGAGCCCTTCAATCTGGTTTTAGATAATTTAACCATGGGCATGGAAAGACACTTAGCTAATGTCAGAGATCGAAGAGCCCACAAATTCTAGCACATCCTGAGCATGAATCATCCGGCAAGACTTCTCTTTGCCTTCAGAATGTCCTTGGGGACGTTCTTAGAAAAGCAGAAGAACAGAGCAGGAGAAGGGAGGGACAGGACTTGGGGAACCCCTGGCACACCCATCCCCTCTCTGCCCTGCCCCAATACTGCCCACTACTTACCTCACCATTGCAGAAACAGTATATGATGGCAACAAAAAATCCCTGTGGAAAGAGGCAGGTGAGTGGGTCAGGGCCAGGAGCCCACATCTAGAGGGGGTGGGAGCAGTATCATTTCACCCTGCCCGCCCTTGGCCAGGACTGCACACCTGGAAGGAGTTGAAGAGCATCTCGTAGTGCATCTGGATTTGCCAGAGTGTCCCTGAGACCTCAGTGTATGGCGTGGCCATGAAGACAATGTAGTGGACACCAAAGAGCGGCATAAGCACCAGCGTGGATTTGAGCAGCTTCCTGGGTGAGGGTGGGGTGAGGGAGCAGGAGGGTCTGGATTGAGCAACTTTCCCTCAATGAGCACTGAGCCATCTCCCACCTTGCCACCCCTAGGTTCCAAAAACTACAAAGGAGCCCAAGGCTGTGACCATGGGAAGATGACCACTTGATCTGTCCACCAAGGACAGCCTGTCCTCCAGCAAAGTCTTCATAGCCTTCCTGAGTTCTCAAGGAGTCTCAGAGTGAATTACACTACACCCTGTCCCAGAGGATCTATCCATCTGTTCAAGAATGCCCTGCCCTCCCTCACCCATGGCTTACTCCTCAGGTTTCAGCCGAGCTGTTGTCTCCTCGGGGGCCACCCAATGCCCACTTGTCATATGCCCATGACTAGCTCTTTGAGGTGAAGCATGGATTTGTTCTACTTTCACAGATCCAGGTGGCACCAAGTGGGCCAGGCTAGCTTTGTGGGCTCAGTCAGGGTGAGATCCCATCACTACTGGGTAGGTCAGGGCCCCAGGCTGGTGTGCTGGGTGGGGACAGCCAGAGTGTTAAGAGCTGGATCCCTCCCCAGGACCTCTGTCTCTCCTTTTGCACATGTGGCAGGGATTGGACGGCAGGGATGGGACGGCAGGGATGGGACAGCAGGGATTGGACGTGGCTCACCGGTACTGCTGCCGCGTGTCACACCGGCCTGCATTGGTCTCCCGAAGCTTGGTGGCGAGCACCCGGACGATGTTGATGAAGAGGATAAAGTTGAGCTGTGAAGGGTAAGGTTACATCAAGGCTGCAGGGTGAACCCTGGGACCCCCAGCCCTGCCACAAGCTCTGCTCTGCCTCCACATCTCTTCGAGGCTTCTTGGACCCTCAGTTTCCCCTTGTGGCTCTACTCCTGGGGTTCAGAAGCATCTGTGGGTCCCTACCCCAACCCACCCTACTCCGTGGTCAGCACTCCAACCCTGCTCACCACTATGGAGGCCAGGATGGGCACCTGGATGATCCATTTCTTGTTCCCGGAGCTCAAGTCCCAGCACCTGGGGAAAGCTGAGAGATCAACCTTACCCCCATGCTGTCCCCACCCTGAGACTACTCACAGAGAAGTCCCAGAACTTGTCTGTTCTGACATCAGCTTTTGGGGACACAGGGCAGGGGTACTGGGTGTGACCACCTTCACAGGATTCTTCAGAAGAAGTGGCCTCCTGTGACCCTGAGGTGGTGTCCAGCTACAGGCTAGACTGAGAATTCCTAAAGCTAGGACCACTCAGGGCTGGGGGACAGGTGAACCCCTCATATGTATCACTGAGGAGGGCCCCTGGCTTTTTCTGGCCTATGACAGAGTCCCTCATCCCCACCTGGACCTACCCGGTATTGGCCAGGGTGGCTCTCACACCGACCCACACAGCCACGAAGATGGCGGGCAGACCTGTGGCAAAGAGGAGGTGTGTGAGGGGCTGCTGGGTGACATTCTTGACTGTCTCCCTCCCCTCAGCATCCTTGCCAAACCTTGATAACGCCCAGTCTATACCATCACTGCCTCTGTCCCCACCCACTCTGGGATGCTCAGCAACATCCTGTGCTGCCTAACAGACCCCCCCCCCCCCAGGGGCCCCAATGCAGCCCTCTGTCCCCATCTTAGTCATCCTGCACTGCATACGTCTGAGTCCATGGTATAGTGAGGCCTCACTAATTTAGTGAGGCCCAGTCCCTGTCTCCCCTGAAGGGTGGCTACCCATGAGGAGGGAGGCTAGTACCATCATTTTCTGTACCAGTTCCCCTGGCCTTTGTTTGAGAAGTCCTGGCACCATGGACGAGGCTAGAAGGGGCCACACACAGGAGAGCTTCCATGAGGCTCAGTCTGAGCTGGATCTGAAGGTGGAGACCACCAGCAAGCAGCATGGTAGCCCTGAGTGTGCTTTGCCTCTGGACAAAGAGCTTCATTCCCGGCCTAGATGTACCCTTGGGAGGCTCAGGGCATGCCCGAGTTATGCTGAGAAAAAGAGTTGGCATTCTGTGCCATGGGTTCTGTGCAAGGATCGACGTGTTTCCTGGCCACTCTGACCCTCCACCCATGGAGACCGTTTTAGTTCCCTGGGCCCACACACAGGCCTCTCCCAACTTGAAGACTTGCCAAGGGTGAAGTGAGGGACAGAGTGTGTGCCAAGGGGCAGGGAGGTGGTGGCCGATGACCTGAGGGTCTCTGGGTACAGAGGAGGGGTGGTTGGGGCTACTAGGCTGAAGCAGGGGTGCTGACGAAGGCTCAAGGGCTCCAGTCAGCCGACCCACCCCTCTACAGTCTGGGCAGATGCCCCAGAGCCTAGCCAAGGTCTGGAACTGCCAACAATAACGGACAATTATCGGTAACTTGATCCTGGAGCCCGTGGGGGCTTAGGAGAGATGGAGAGTGCTAACAACCCATTCTGCAGAGGTACTGTCAAAGCCAGAGCAGTCCTGTGACGCTGGGTCTGTGACTGCAGGCCACAAACCCCACGGCCCGCTTCAGGTCGGCACTTCCGCTCAGGCACAGGGACTATGTCAGCCCCAAATTCCAACTCTAGGCTGACTTCTGACTTAAGATCCCATTCTGATTCCAAGCTGAAGTCGTAATCCCACAGACCCTGGCCCTCGCACACTTGAATGGAACCACAACCCCAGGTCAGTCTGAGTTCAAGGCCAATCCTAGGCAAATGCCAGGCAAATCCTGACCCTGGCCAAGCCCTGGTTCCTGAGCCTGGAAGGGGTCAGAGGTAGTTGCTGCCCCACATGCAGGGCATGATATGCTGTGTGGGCACCCCTGACATTGTGCCTATGGGTCTATCCTTGCCTGCAGCTCATAGCCCCACCACACATGCCTGCATACCCCAGCCGAAGACTGTGAAGCCCCATAGGTACTTCTTCTCTGAGAAGAAGGCCATGAAGATGAGACTGTGCAGGTACAGCCCTTCCACCAGAATCCAGTAGTAGTTGGTGGCCAGGAAGTAAAGGAAGAAGGTCACGGCCACCCGGCAGCCCACCTAGGAGATCAGCTTGCATTAGCAGGAGGGCAGGCCTGCGTTTAGGGACCAAGGCTGCGGGGTCGGGGGTGGGAGTAGAGAAGGCAGTAAGTAAGGGTGGAGCTGGTGGGACAAGACAAAAATTGATGCTGGCAGAATGGGCAGGGAAAGGGCACAATCGAGTTAGGACCCTCAACCAAGGGCAGGGACTGAGGAGTGTGTGGGATAGCACCAGGGTTAGGAGGTGGGGGAATTGGGGTTCTAGGTTGAGACAGGGTGTTGGCAACAGAGTGACTCATGAAGTCCTTAGCAATGGAGCTGGAAGAAGGGTGGAGGGCTGTGAAACAGGGGGCAGGGGTGAGGGCTAGTCCTGTGGTGGCAGGACGCAACAGGGTAGGGGCTCAGAGCCTGTGGTGTCAGGAAGCCACGGACGTAGGCGGGGTACTCACAGAGCCGGCAGCAGTGGCAGGGGGTGCTGGGGCCTGGGCGATGGCACGCAGCTCTTCTGCCGTGAGGCGCTCTGCCTCATCGAGCATGGTGCCAGAGTAGAGCACCGCATCCTTGACGAAGATGCTCACTGCGCGCAGCATGAAGGACAGGAACAGGTGCATGTGGATGTAGTTACGTGTGCAGTGTAGCCTCCTGCAGGGCGCGCGACAGCACTGTGGGTGGGGGCACCGGGACACCCGGTGGGTGGGCAGGCAGCAGGGCGTGTGCTGGGCAGTGACACCAGGCAGGGGAAGGGGTGCGCTGAAGGGTAAGGAGGGGACACCATGCCTCGGCTCCACCCCAGCCCCACCCTTGACTTGAACATGCCCCTTGCTTCTGGCTTGGCCCCACCCACCTAAAGTAGGCCAGGATGAGCACCGCCACAGTGAGGGAGGCCAGCGACACGGAGTAGCCCACAGTGTAGATCATGCCCAAGCGGTCAAACACCTCCTGTGGGGGTGACGAGGCACGGTCAGAGTCCTGGGACTCGAGGGAACATCAGGGTCAGGGGCCAGGTCAAGATCTAGAGCCAGGACTAGGTCATGGGTCACTGATGGGGTTGGAGAGTCTTTATCAGGGACAGGTAAGGGAGGGGGGGTGGTGCGCACCCGCTCACGAGTCTCATTGGTCAGGAACTTGACACATTCGCTGTAGTTAGCCCATGTTCTGTTGTGCCCAGGTACCAGCTCCCAGCTGCCATTTTGGTCACAGCGACGGTAGGCATGACCTACAGGTCAGTGGAGAAAGTCAAGGCAGGCATAGAGCAGTCTGGGGCCAGCACACCCTGAGCTCTAAGCCCTGTCATTCCTGTGGTCCCACTCTTACCCTTATACCAGCCTTACCTTTGTGATTGAAGTCATAAATGTAGTCAGGACAGGGCATGGCCACCACCTCACCTGGTGCCCCCAGAGGCCAGCAGAGGATGTGGTCCCACTCAGGCAGGCAGGGGTGACCTGTATGCAGAAAAGACAGACAGTGTAAGGGACACCAATGGAACAGAGAGTCAAGTTCATGGTTAGTGTCCCTGAGGGATGGATACACTTGTGGTTGTTGATTCTTACAGGGTCAAGTGTGCCCCAGGAACAAGTGTGGGGAATTTACACTTGGAACATTCTGGAGAGGCCTAAGACCCTGATGTGGCAGCCTAAGTATTGAGATCTCATACTATGCCATACATCCACTTGGCTTTACACAATTTCCAAGACCCCATGCACCAGGTACTAGCACTGGCCCTGCTCTTCAGATGAGCTGCTGGAGGCTTGCTGAGGTCATGTAGTCCAGGGCCTGTTCTCAAGGGCTTAACTTCAGGCCAGACCTCTCTTTCTTCTCTTTGCCCTTGGTCCCACCTTCCAAGTGTCCTGGAGAATGGCTTCCCCAGGGGTTGTGGTCCACAGGCTGGAGGATTGGTTTCCAGTGACAGCTAAACCCCCAAAGAGCTGCTGACCCCTTGCAGGTTTCCACACCTCAATTTTATCACTGAGAATTATGAATCTGCACTTCTACCACCTGCCTTGAGCACCTGCTATGAGACTCTCCCGCCCAATCAATCCCTCACATCTAAGAGCTAACAGTGGGATTCACGGCAGGGTGACATACTTTGAGGTGCCAGTCTCACTATAGAGATTCTGAGTCCCCAGTGAGGGTCACCAACCACTCTGGGGCTTCTGTGTTCTATCCCCCAGCCTCCTTACTTCTTATTATGCCCCTGCAGGGTTCCAGCCACCCTGGAAGGCGGCCTTGGTGACTGGCCCCACCCCAGCTTGGTGAAAGGCTCTCTGTACTGGGCACCATATTCCCAGCCCCACCCAGACAGGCCCACAATTCCCTCTGGTCCCCAGGGAGCTACAGGGTGACCACAGCCTCCCAGATGTGGTCCATCTGGAATCCACTGCCCACCAGGCCAGTTCAAGCCGGCCCTGTGGTTGTAGCCTTGGCTCTGCATTTGTCTCTCCTCACCTCCCTGAGGGACGATGCGGCCCAGCATTTCTCTCCCTCTCTCTCTTCTCTTATCCTTTCCTTTTCTCTGATTCCGGCCCCTCTCCCACTCTGCCTCTATGACCCACCCACTTTGTATCTTGATGCGCTGGGTTTGTGCCCCTCCGCTTGTGCTTCTTGGTCCCTTCTCTGTCTCCTCTTTGTTTTTCTCACTTCCTGCTTCATGTCTCTCCCTGCCTTGCTCTCTGCCTCTTTGTCTCTCCCTGTCTCCCTGGTTCTCTATCACCCCTCTTTCTTTCTGTAGGTAGAGCTGTAGCCCAGGGTCCACTTCTGGGATGTTGTTGTTAAGTGCCGTTGAGTCGGTTCTGACTCATAGTGACCCTGTATAGGGTTTCCGAGGAGTGACTGATGAGCTTGAACAGCTGACCTTGTGATTGAAAACGACTTTACACTCTAGTGCATTCACCTACAGCACCACACCAGGACTCCACTGCTGAGGCAGGGCTGGATAAGTTTTCTGTTCCTATCTCGGCCACCTTGTTCACCTGCCCCTGCACACATTGAGTCTAAACTCTAGCTCCTCCTGGTGTCTGTCCTATTGTCCTGGGCAGGGGCCACACCTCTTTTGCACCAGAAGCTGGAGGATAAGCATGAGCTCATGGTGAAGGCAGAGTAGTATGGGGAGGGTGGCTCTAAGCCCATGTCAGACAGACATGAAAGCACAGGCGTACCTTGGTGTCTACTGTCAGTGGGTGCCTCCTTGTCCTCCTCCGACTCTGGGTAGAGCTTCCCCTTGTCTTTCCTGGGCTTCCCTGAGGTGGATGCAGATGTCCATTCTTTGTCTGACTCCATTATGTTGGCTGGAGAAGTCAGGGCAGTTACGACTGTCAGTGTCACCAAGGCCAGAGATCTGGGACACCCTCCTTCCGAGGGTCCAAACTCTCCTTTGTACATAGAGGTTGTTCCCCAACCTGCTGACACCCACGGTTATTGGGGGATTGGGATGATGAGTGGAGATAATGACTGTAAAGTATTTGCCAGATGGTGAAACAAGGGGTTCAAATGGGGGAGACCTTCACACACTAGGGTGGGATCAACTAGGGGACTGAGCAGTAAATCTGGGCAAGACACAGGCAGCAGCAGTATCCCTCACTGGAGGCGTCAGAGCCTGAGCCTGCAGCATGTGAAGGCCCCACCAGGGGGCGCATGGTAAAAGCAGACAAGGGTGGTGATGCTGATGGAGAGATTAGACAGTGAGAATGGAGCCAGTCTTGGACACCCTGCAGGTAAAGAAACTGGTGGTATGGAAGGCAAGAGGAGGGCTGCAGTTTGTCTGTTAAGTGTGGAGCGAGTTTGTCGTATCCACCTGTGCCCCAGGATACTAGAATAAGGGGTTCACAGGTTCCACTAGTGAACTGTAGACTCCTATTCTGAGATGGAACCTGGCCTTTCCCTGCAGCCCCTCCCGGGTCCTCACTGTCTGATTTGCATCCTTGCAGCTAGGACTCAGGTCTCAGGCAAGAACAGACTCTGCAGCAGCAATGAGACGCGAGACCAGACAACCTGGCCTGGAATGAGAATGAGAATGGCTGTACCTATTTTCTGCCCTCTACTTTTAGGTATCATCAGTAGGATGGGGGTGGCAAGATAGGATGGAGCAGTAATAGAGGATTTTACCATGGATGGGGAAGAGGCAGAAAAAGGTACCTCCCGGCTTCCACAACCAACAAGAGAGCTGGGATCAGGACACAAAGTGAGGAAGAAGACCCATGTGACTGGGACCAGGAGCCCAAGGTCCAATGTGGTGGGACTATGTCAGCAAAGACCATGTGAGTCCCTGTGAGTGTGAGCAAATCTTTGTGCTACCGGGTATAGTGCCACCTGTGAGTGAACATCCTGTCCCCAACAACCTAAGGGCCACTCAGGAGAGGAAACTGCACTTGTAAATCAGTCAATCCAGACCTGGGCCTCTTCCAACTTGATGAAATTAACCAGATAGCGACTAGAGAGGCCTGCATGGGTACTAATGAGGCCTCATTTCCGCTCCCCCAAAATGGACTCAAGGAAGAAGCTTGAGGGAGGCTGCAGGAGCTGTGGAATAGTCCCGAGGGCTCCCCTCCACCTCCTAGTGCCTGGGGCCCCATGGGCATGCTGCGCCAAGGGGGAGGTAGCTGTCTCAACCCAAGGTCAAGTTCTCTCTTCCACTGTGGCCACAGTCTGATGGAATCACAGGTAATCATGTTTACCACCCCACCTCCATCCAACCCCATAGACCCTCAGTTTTCCTCACTCTGGAGGTCTCTGCTCACCCATGCTGCCTCCTCCTAAATCCTCCCCCTCCAGGAAGTCTTCCTTGCGCTGGAGTGTGACACACTAGTGAGTGTTGGGTCTGATACCCTAGTGAGTGTTTTGGCTCTGGAACTTTAGCTGTTTCCTCGCGTCCTACTCCCATTTCTGGGCTCTACTCTGTCAAAGGCTCTTTCCATCTCTTTTCATAACCAAGTATGTAGTGTGGGGGGGGGAGGGGGGGGGAGAAATGTGTGCCAGTGGACAGGTTGTCCAAGAGCTGGTGTGGCAGCACCTAAACCTAAGTTTAGGATTAAGACGCGTTAGCAACCACCTCAACCTGTGGACTCTGCCCTCACCTGATTCGACCCTCTTTTGGTCTTCACTTTAGCACCCCCTTACCCGAACCCACCCTTGCCCTTGCCTGGCGCCTACATCTAGTCTCCCTTCACCCGGCTCCGCCTTTCACAGCTCTCCCACCTTCGTCTGGCACCTCCCTCTATTGACTCCGCCCCGTTCTTTCTGGTCCCGCCCCCACCTGGCCTCCGCTGGATTTCCTTGAGCCGCTTCTCGCACTGGGCCTGGGCTCGGTGCAGCAGGAAGATCTGCTCCTCTTTGGTCATGACGTCATCCGCATCCACCTGCGGAACCTCAGGTCAGACCGCCGGCAGGACTTCCCAGCCCAGCGGACCAGTCTCAGAACCATCCCATCCTCCCTGTGGGATTCCCCCTTTACCAAAGACCCTGACTCTAGAAGATAGAAAACCTGCCTTCCGTAGCTTACATGTTATTGATGGGAAACAGCGGCTAAGAAGGATATGGTCTACTCAACCCGAGTGGAAAAGGGGGGAGGGGGCTGTCCCCTGCCTGCCCGCCAGTGACCCCGCAGGCCACTGAACTTCTCTGTTCAGTCCATTCCCCAGGGGCACATGGGAACGGGATGGAATGTCCCAGATCAATCTTCACAGGATCCAAGAGGCTGGTTAGAGACCTAGGGGTGGGGTTGGGAGGACGGGTGGAGGAGGATGAGATTCGTAAACTCTGGGGAGACAAATGCAGACCTGGATTCCTTCAAGTCTTGGCGCCTTGGGAAGCTTTGAGAGTCACCGATTTCCAGCCCCGCCCCTGCTCCCTAGCCTCAGTGCTTTCTCCAATGAAAGGTGAGAGCCTCAGACCCCACCCACTTCCATCCCCAGCTCTCCGGCTTTGCGGTTCCTAAAGGCAGAGGACTGAGGTACTGAAGGCAAAGGGCCTGGGAGGGGCACAATGGTGTAAGACTGTCGGTAGGAGTCCTCTTCCGTATGCTACTTATCTGGAAGCTACCTCCATCCACGCAGACCCTGTGTTCTGATGCCTGCGTCAGGTCTTTGCTCCCGCTGCTCCCTTTCCTTCTAACCTACAGACCCTGGGCAGTGGCCACTACCCACTGGGATTCACTGGCGTCATTTTATGGAAAGAAAAGGGAACATCTTGCTGGGAGGTGGGCTCATCTGTAGTGGGCTGCTGGAGAGGGTCGTTCAGACACTCCACAGCAAGGCCGGGCCCCTCCGTCTCAGCCGAGCCGTACAGGGCGGGAGGACCCGGAGGCCGCAGGGAAAGAAGGGGGCGGGTCGGGGAAGGGGCGGACCCCAGGCAGGCGGTCCCCGCCGGCTGGGTCGGGGAGCTTGACTGCAAGGAGATGTTAATTGACCGCGACTCTTGGCAGCAGCGGCGAGGGCTTCCAGGGCCAAGGAATCTCCAATTGGCTCAGCCGGACATGGGTTCTACCCGTTTCACTTAGCGGAGGCGCGTGCGCGACTCTGCGCGTGCGCGTGGCAGCGCTTCCCCGAACGTCCACGCACACCCTGTCTGGCAGCTGTGTGCACTTGTGTGTGCGCCAGTCTCTGTTCGTCCTTGTGTGAGCACTGTCCAGAATGTAAATTTGGACATGCGGACCTGAGGAGTTTGCGAACATGCATGGGTACGTGCGTTTCTGGACAAAGACACTCGTGTGATGCGATTGCTCTTTAGCGTGCATGTCTGTGGGGTCTAGAGTTGTTGTTTGGTGCCATACCGGTTCCGACTCATAGCGACCTTATGCACAGCAGAACAAAACACTGCCCGATCCTGGCCCAACCTCACTAATGTTGCCACGTTTTGAGTCCATCGATGCGGCCACCTGGCCAATCCATCTCGTTGGGTGTCTTCCTCTTTTTCTCTGATCCCCCCACCCTAGTAGAGCCGGGGATCTTGGCTAGACCTCAAGAAGCTGCAGGAAGGAGCACATGTGCTGGCTGCATAACGCAGCGGTTCCTCTGCCCTCAGGCACAGCTACTGCAGAGCTGAAGCAGCGGTAGGGCTGGCTCAGGTTTATGGGAGGACTGAGCGCCTGCCCCATCCAGAGGCCCTCATTGTATCTCTGTCATGGGGAATCCAGGCTGATGAAGGGGTCTGAGCCCTGTACCGCTGCCCTGCCCACCCAATACCCTCCCATCACCACTTCACTACTATCCAACATGATCACATCTAGTAACCTTCACCAATATCCACTGCCACCATCACCATCATTCTACCACCACTATCACCACAATAATCACCATGTCTACCACTACCATTACCAACATCAACATCATCACAACTGGTACATCATTATCGTCACCACCAGCATTAATACCACTACCACTGTTGTCACCACTAACTGCATCACTACCACCAAAGGAAATATCAGCATTGTCACTATCGTTAACAATACTGCCACCAGTCCTGTAACAGCCAACAACACTGCATTTGTCATCTTATAGTCCTCACTCCCCACCATGCCTCCTTCCCCACTCCCCACCTGCTTTTGCCCACCTCTATCTCGTGTGGAACTGGTGGGTTAATGCATCAGACTGCACAGCCATTTGAACTGCAAGGTTGGCGGTTCAAACTCACCAGCTGCTCCTTGGAAACCCTACACAGAGTCATTATGGGTCGGAATTGACTCGACGGCACTCAACAACAACCTCTCTCAAAACAAACAGATAATATGCTAAAATTTTCTAACCAACAGTGATTGAGGCTCCTGCCAGTCCGCAGTGATTGGGTGGCACATCAGTCCTTCCCAACACGCAGACCAGCTCACCAATGTGACTGAGAATCACAGCTGGTAACAGGCAGTCATGGACTGAAAAATGACCATTTGGCAGGCTGACAAGTGAGCAAGGTGCTTTGGCTGGGTGATGACTAGAAACTGACCAAGAAACTAACCAAACATACTCTCTCACAGGCCCAAGGGCTCTGCTCAACCTCTACCTTCTGCTATTGTGGTCTCCTCCATGGCCAGGAGAAGCACATCGCCTTTCCCTAGTCTTGTTTCCATGGTGGGTCTGGGAATGGCCAGGAAAGGGGAGGGTATGTGCTCCTAAACCAGAGGCAGATCTAAGGTATGGGAGGTATAACATGTGCCCTCGGTGCTACTTAAAGGGCGGGCACCACTGAACAATTTCTTTTATACCAGTACAGCCCAATGTCTTACATGAAGCAGGTTACAGCTCAGGGATAGATGGGAGGACAAAGGGGAGCACTTGTCCCTGTGCACAAGTCCAAGGGGGTGCCAATTCCAAGGTGTCTCAAGTATGAAAGGTGCCTGACTGAGGCAGCCAGACAAATTTGGGGGTAGGGGAGAGGCATTTCTGTTAATTCGTTGTCACTGCTATCAACATCTATTTATCTTGAAACTAGGAGTTGGGAGGTACATAACCTAGAGATTGCTCCTGGGTGCTGGAACTGGGAGGGAACACAATTTAGAAACTGCCTCTGTGCTCAATACCTCCACTACACTCCTGCCTAGAATCTCCTATTCCTAACTCTTCACAGATTAGGAAGGTGAACCCACCTCTAGCCTCCCTGAACTTCAGGACCCACATGTCTCTATCACTCCGGTGGTCACAGATAGAATGACCATTACAGCAAGAGGAATTCAGGGCAGTCAAGGAAGGGAAGAAAGGCGGTTCAACACCAAGTCCATTCCCACTTCCCAGCTGACTGGACCACCCTGTTCACCCCTCCCTCCAGCTGCATTTTGCCCGCATCCAAGGAGACTCTGCCACCTACACTGGAGTTTGAATGCCACCTCCACTATTGACTGGCTTAGTGACTTTGAGCAAGATGCTTAACTTGTGCCTCAGCTTCCCATCTGCAAAATTAGGATGATAAGGGGTTGTTGTTAAATGCCATCTAGTCAGTTCTGACTCATAGTGACCCTGTACAGAGTTTCCACGACTTTAAATCTTTGTGGGAACAGAAAGCCTCATATTTCTGCCACCGAGTGGTTGGTAGGTGTGACCCATGGACCTTGTGGTTCACAGTCTAGTGCTTGTCTTATGAAGCCACCATGGTCCCCAATATGGGGTTGTTGTTGTTGTTCCTAAGCGCCACCGAGTTGGTTCCGACCCATATCTACCTTGTATAGGCTTTCCGAGGAGCAACTGGTAAGCTTGAACCACTGACCTTGCGGTTCAAACTGACTTTGCAGTCCAGGGCATTAACCCACAGCGCCACACCAAGAGTCCCTGATGAGGTTGTAGTGAGAATTAAATGAGATATTGCATGAAGAGCCTAAACATCAGCATGAAGTCATGATTTCCTCCCATGATGGGTCCCTTTGCTGCTTGGTAATGTTGGTACCCGCAGGTCAGGAACTCAGTGCAGCAGGGACAGATTGTCTGGGTGGGTCAGGGTGTGTGCGAGGCAGAGCGGGTGGGCAGCAGAGAGGGAGAGGAAACCTCAGGAGGGATTGGAGCAAGGGATACAGAAGGGTCTTCTGGGTGCGATGTGTCTGTTGAGAGGACCCAAAGGGAGCTTTTGGGGTGGAAGGGGACCCCAGTGATCCCTTACATTTCTAGATCTAATCTAGATTCAACTCAGAGTTCAAGGTCATTGCCAGCCGCCCTGAGCTCAGGCTTGGGGTGCTGGGGTCCCCTCCTCCAGCCCTGCCCTGACTGAGGGGACCTTATTTTTTGGAGGTGAAGAAAGCATGCTGACAGCTCTAACTGCTTCCTGGCTTACATGCCCTATTCGTCTGCTGTGCTTCCCTCTTCCCCCACTCCAGCCCATCTCCCCGACAGAGGTCCCCTCTTCTTGGTCCAGCTCCAAGACCTGGAAAACTCATACTTGCATCTTCTGAGATCCAGAGAGTCTGCAGATCTTAGGTCTCAGGGGCAGGATAAAGGGACCAGGGCTAGGTCATGGTCAGGGGTCACTTCGTCTCCACCAACTGCTGATTGGGCCACCCAGCCTGAAACCAGTTGCCCCTCACTCTGACCTGCATCCCTTATATGGTCTTGAATTAGGTCTGATGTGATTCCTTGACCCACTTCTGTAGGTCCCAGCCTCAATGCCCCCCACTGCAACACATTCCCTCCAGTCCCTACGCTCAACCCCCTAAAGCAGAGAGGTCCTATGTACACACATGTGCATGATGTGCAGTTTGTGAACATGCCGGGGATGGAGTGCCCTGAGCTGGAGAAACAGGGGTGGAAGATTGTCTGGAGACTAGAGCTGGTGTTGGTGACATTCCTGGCCGCCTGAAGTGGTTATGTTATTTACAAACATATAGGAGCTGATGTTTAAGAGCGAGCAATGTGTGGTCAAGAGGCCCTCGACATGTTTGTCACTTCCT